ACAGTATGGAGGTTCCTCAATAAACTAAAAATAGAACTACCATATGACCCAGCAATCCCACTACTGGGCATATACCCTGAGAAAACATAGTTCAAAAGGAGTCATGTACAACAATGTTCATTGCAGCTCTATTTACAATAGCCAGGACATGGAAGCAATCTAAGTGTCCATCGACAGATGAATGGATAAAGATGATGTGACACATATATACAATGGAATATTACTCAGCCATAAAAAGAAATGAAATTGAGTTATATATAGTGAGGTGGATGGACCTAGAGTCTGTCATACAGAATGAAGTAAGTCAGAAAGAGAAAAACAAATACTGTATGCTAACGCATATATATGGAATCTAAAAGAAAAAATGTTTCTAAAGAACCTAGGGGCAGGACAGGAATAAAGATGCAGATGTACAGAATGGACTTGAGGACATGGGGAGGGGAAAGGGGAAGCTGGGATGAAGTGAGAGATTGGCATGGACTTATACATACTACCAAATGTAAAATAGCTAGCTAGTGGGAAGCAGCTGCATAGCACAGGGAGATCAGCTCGGTGCTTTGTGACCACCTAGAGGGATGGGATAGGGAGTGTGGGAGGGAGATGCAAGAGGGTGGAGATATGGGGATATATGTATATGTATGGCTGATTCACTTTGTTATAAAGCAGAAACTAACACACCATTGTAAAGCAATTATACTCAAATAAAGATGTTAAAAAATAAAAACAAGATTGAATTAAAGCTCAGTATGAAGACTTCATTACCTTCCTATAAATGCATTCTTTCTTTCTAGCTTCCATCTTGACCTCGGTGAAGAGCTTTTCCATGGAACTTGTTTCCTGTTACCTGTTTAATTTACCATAATAAGAATGTCCCTAAATGTGGTGAATCATTTCTATGTGGGTCTTACTTAGAGGTGAACAACAGCGCCATGACTCTATGATATCAGAATAGGCCATGCAATCACATGCTTTCAGAATTGACAGGGCACAAAAATTTCCTGGGGTACCTCTTATTTTGATGAGGGAAATATAACTCAGAAAAATAAAATGGCCTGTGAAAGACTGCACATCTAGGATGTACAGAGCTAGGACTAGACCTTATGGTACCTGCTTTTGTTTTCTGGCCCAGGGGTCTTCTCACTACTTGACAAGTCTAATTAATGGAGGATGAGTCTAAAGATGTAAGAATAATTAGAATATAGTGGAAACTTCAAAAGCAAGGAAATACCATTAGAGAATGTTGATAAGGAGAGTATAAAATTTACTAAGTAGAGAACATTTATGTAGAGTAAAACCAAATAGGTATATTTTAAAAGATTATCCTTTCTGGCAAAGATTGCAGTTTCTAGATAGACACATAAAGAGGAAAAAAGAAAACGGCCTTCTATTTAGCCAGTCAGATCACCAGAAGCAATCTCTGCAATTAATGTGTGACCTACATAATAATCAGATCCTTCTCACAACTAAATGATAATCCTCTGATACCAAATGACTTTGCCCTGGGCTAAAGGAAGTCACCTTGCCCACAGTCATGCCCCCTTCTCAAAGGCAGCTGCTTCTAATGATCGACTGAAGCAGGGCTATAAAAACCTGGTCCCCTCGCCTTAACACAAGACAACTCTGAAGAGCCACGCCAGCTCCAGAGCTCCCTGTGTGATCAGCTGAGGTCTTTCTTGTGACTCTATTATGATTTCACTTCTCCCTCTGTTCAGACCTGCTTTCGTTCCTCTGCCTTATGTGTCGTTCCTGAGAGTACTTCTCAATAAACTTTCCACTTGCAAGTTCATCCTGGGAACTGGACATAAAACAAACAGCTTAAAACAAACATTTGCACTTAACACATGTCATCTACCAACAATAGCACTGTCACTGATTAAACAGGGAAGCTCTGTGCTCTTCCTGAGCTACTGCAGCTGAGTTAAGGAGGGGAAGGGGTCCATTAGGGAGGCTCAGGGCTTCCATGTCTCTGCACAATTGTATTGTTTCTTAGACTCAGAGGACTCAGTGACTCATCTCCAGAAGATTTCTAATCACTTCCCATATCCATAGAATTCATAGAGGCCATGAAATTCCCAAGAGGATTCAGTTCTCAAAGGAAAAAAGTACAGACAGAAACTCAGAGACTGCAAGAGCCACATCAGGTGGTCACAGCCAGCACTTTGCAAAACATACTGTCAGGAAGCAAATTTTTCCTTGGCCATCAACTCATAAATATGCAGAAGTTAATTAGCATAGCTATGATTCAACTGGAGTTTATTATGTACTATACTAACTTTAACCTATTTTATCTAATGTAGTTGTCAAAATAGCCTACGGTGTAGCGCTATTACTAACCCAAGTTTACAATAAAGAGATAGAGGAGACATGGTACACAGCTGGCGAGTAGGGGAGCCAAGGTTTAAACCCAGCAGTCTTAAGTTCAGACTCCAAAAGTTAGCCACTTAATCATCCTACTTTTTTTTTTTTTTGCGGTACGCGGGCCTCTCACTGTTGTGGCCTCTCCCATTGCGGAGCACAGGCTCCAGACGCACAGGCTCAGCGGCCGTGGCTCACGGGCCCAGCCGCTCTGCGGCATGTGGGATCTTCCCGGACCGGGGCACGAACCCGCGTCCCCTGCATCGGCAGGCGGACTCTCAACCGCTGCGCCACCAGGGAAGCCCAATCATCCTACTTTTAAAGAACGGTTCTTTTAGTAATTTATGGACAAAACAACGTGCAGACTTAATAACAATGTTCCCCAAATAAGACATGGGTCTTGTTGAGCAACCAGAGTGAATCAGGGACCCAGAGAGGAAGGTCACCCATGAGATCTGGTGAAGCATTTTCACCAGCTTCTTAACTGAAGAGGAGCTGGGACTGACAGCACCAATCCTGAGGTAGAGTTTCCTGTGCTCCGGGCTTCAACAGAGCGAACTCTCATTAGATAATATGTGTTCAGCCATTTACAGCGAATCTTCTAGTTGTCTACGGTGAATTTCAAAATGAAAACTTCCCTTTAGTATAATTATTAGATACATATCTGAAATGGTTCCACTTCATCTAACTGAAAGAATAAGGTCTGGGTGTCTAGAAGGAGCAAAACTGGAGATGCAGTTCCTCTGTCTTAATACAGTTTTTTTGTTTTGTTTTGCTTTGTTTTCTCTGTGATAGGCCACAGAGCCTCTAAAACCGCCATTTTCATCCAAAGAGAATTTAGGAAATGACTGACTTATGTCTCACATTTAAAAACAGGAGAAAGCTCAGAAAGAGTATGATTTGCTTATCCTGAACTCCAAGGTGGTTAATGAATATTCACAGATGAGCTATCCATTCCAAGTATAGTAAATGTTAAGTACAGATCAAAAGAGTTTTTTTTAATGAAGAAAATATATAATATTTCACAAGAAAAAAATGAATTTTGAAGAATTATATTTCTGCTTTACTTTTGTATTTTTATGTATGGAATTGTCATTCAATTATAACTCATAATGAAGACAGACTCTATAATTTATTGTAATTTCAAATGGGAAAGCAAGTGAAAATATTGCCCAGATCCACATACTAGGTAATTTTTAAATAAATGCATGTTGAAATTAATGTAAGAAAGGAGATTTCATTTTACTCTCTTGAGTAAAGTTAGTAAGTCTTACTACTAACCGTCACTACTAAGTGACGGTTAGTAGAACCATCACTTTAATTTCAGGTCCTCTTTTTTTCTTAAACCATCACTAATAGGCAATAGGTTCAAAGCAGTTTCTGCCCTAGTCTGTAACATACTCTGCACTATTCATTCAGAGCGCAAACTTGGGGCTGTCACATAGCATCCCAGGAAGATGCACACACAGGGGAAGATCAGAGAATAAGTTTTCCTATGACTGAAACAAAAACTTTGATCTCAGCAATTGTATTATCTGGTACCTTTTAGGATCCATAATCTTAAGGAAAAAATAGTTTCCAATGAATTAATAATAGCCTGAGACTCAACACAGTGCAGTAATTTTCACTGCAGTAGTTGTTTCTTTTATAGTCACACTTGGTTAGTATTTGAAATACGGAGGAATTGCAATATGCATGGTTTTCAAAGCCCTTTATAGAATTTCATTTTTATCATTCAGAAAGAGTCAATGAAAAGGTAATAAGAAAAGCTCTATGGGATATTTTTATAGGAGCGTCAGAAGCCACTAAGTTAACTACATGAAAGAACCCAAATTGTACAGCGTTTCAGCAGAAACACTTCAGTGACTTTATATGTAGTATTTTGACTTTTACATGCCCTGGGAGGAAAAAAGAGTGCTGGCTACAAAATCAAATAAGGAGGGGAAAAGAACAAATCATATGCTTAAGAATAATTACAGTTTCAACTTATCTACAAATGAAATGTGAAGTTTTAAAGATAAAGTATAATGAAATTGAGCTTCTTTGGTGTGTTTAAAATATTGCCAAGAAAGAAAATTCTCATTTCCCGTGCTAACTCATCCAAGATTTCCACAATATGGAAGTTAGTCTGGGTAGCTTAATTGAATGATATCAACTTCTCCACAAGTCCATTTTCTCTTGTTTTGCTTTTAGTAGAGATGAAAAATATCAGATCACCATCTCTAAAAAGTAAACTATTATAATTCAAGTCTGCATTAGGTCACTCATCTGACACTTTTAAAATTAAAAGCACCTCAATTATTTTGACCTCTTCTCAAGCCATTAAACCTTCTTGCTAATTTTAGGAAACATTTCAACATATTATTGTCATGAAAATAAAAGCAATATTAAAATAGAACACTTCTTTGGCCATGAAAACCATAAATGAGAAGAAAAATCTAATAACAGCAAACAATGAACAGACCTATCATCAATATGAGTGCTTAATACTATGCTTCACTTAAAACTAAATTTCAGTGAGATTCGCAGGTCAGGTCCATCACTTTGACTATGTCATATATTCCAAATAAAATGGCAGTAAGAAGCTGTACATTGTGCATTTGTCATAAAGGCAGTTAAAACCAATATCATGTGGCTTAACGGACCTGTAGTTGCATTGGTGCCTGCTACTGCAGTTTTCCCAGTCTTTCTCTTCTCTTTCTCCAGATCAGCCAAATCATTTTGACAACCAACTGGTACTTTGGAATCCAGGCCAGCTTGATTTGAGTGCAGTTTCTTGGATCTGTCTACATGGAGACTCTGAAATGATATAGGCCGGGTGATTGATTTCACAAGTAAATTATCAGTCCAAACTAAATGTTTCCCAGAGGTAGGACAAGGATAAACATTTATCATATGGCAAGTTATTTCTGTATATCTGAAACAGAACATTCTATATGTCAAAGTGAGTTACAGATTATATCTTTTTTTTTAATTAACCATTTTATTTATTTTATTTTATTTATTTTTTTAGAAATTTATTTATTTTATTTATTTATTTTTGGATGCTTTGGTTCTTCATTGCTGTGCACTTCTTTGGCTACTCTTTGGTGTGGTGCATGGGCTTCTCATTGCGGTGGCTTCTATTGTTGAGGAACGCGGGCTCTAGGCACGTGGGCTCAGTAGCTGTGGCATGCGGGCTCAGTAGTTGTGGCTCATGGGCTCAGTTGTTGTGGCTTGCGGGCTCTAGAGCACAGTCTCAGTAATTGTGGCACATGAGCTTACTTGCTCTGCGGCATGTGGGATCTTCCAGGGCCAGTACTCGAAACTGTGTCCCCTGCATTGGCAGGTGGATTCTTATCCACTGCACCACAAGGGAAGCCCCAGATTATATCTTCATCAACCTATTTTGGTAATCTAGGTGTTGAATTTTTTAGGCAATCTAAGTGACTAAAATAAGAAGTCATCTCAGACACAGAGTATCATCTTCAAAGACTATTTGTGTATATTACTTTCTTCTTGTAGAGCTTATAAAATATTTTTATTTACAACTTTCTCACTCAGTTTTTATTCTTATAGTTTAGTAATCCAGCATTTTGTTACATATTACATAATTATTTATTATATAATGAACAGGATTCATTTTGTATTATCTGTACCTTTTATATTATAAAACTAATCATAATATTTACTTTAAAATAACCCACATTTTTATCAGCGTTATCCAAATTTGATAAAGCTCCTCTAGTCACTTTTAGAATGATAATTCATCCTAACAATGAATTATTAAGGCAAAACATCAATGGACTCTAAAACACATCTCACATATAAGAAATGTCATAGTGTTTGATGTAGTACTGACATATGGTATTCTTCAAAAGAATCATCAGATAGGAGCAAACACTAAAGACCTAAAAAGGAAATTGAACCTTCAGCACATTGTTTCATAGCGAAATTCAGAATAGAAGTTTTCCAGTTTGAATCTGATTACAAAATATTCAGATTCATAAAGTCAAAAGTAGCCAGTCAATTTTGGCCATCCACACTAGCCATTTTGATTCACTAAAGGACAGCATAATGAACAACTTTCCTTAAGTTTCTCGTACAGACTGTGTACAGCATTAAATTCATTAAATATTCATTAAAAGCTTGAATCAAAGGCTTTTAAAGCTTGGAAAGGGCCAGTAAGGAAATTAGGGTCCAGAATGATTACACGATTTACCCAAATTAACAGAATGAACAGTGCCACGCCTCAGGGATATGTCTCCCAACCCTTAGTCCAGTGCTCTTCCCATCACTCTGTGATCCATTTGTTCATTTATTCATTCAATGTGGTGGACCAGTTGCACCAATGGCCCCAATTCTTCACTTCTCTCTGTATCCATGTCCTTTCTGTGTAATCTTGCAGTGCCCTCCTACTGTGACTTTTGACTTGTCCATGTGACTTTTTCTGGACCAACGGAATATTGACACATGTGACACAGAGAGTTGAAAGATGCTTGCACAATTGATTTTGCTCATTCTTGTCCTTCCCCTGTGCCATGAGAACATGCCTAGACTAGTCTTCTGGAGGTTGAGCAGGACAGAAAACATAATCACGTTACCCTAGTCATCCAAGCTAAGACAACCAACAGCCAGGAGAGACTCAGATATTTGGGCAAACCCAACCCAGATCAACTAAAACTAATTCAGGTCAGCTGAACCCTCATGAAAAATGTGTTTTTTGCTGGGTGCCACTAAGTTTTTCTGGTGAATATGCAGCATTGCGTGGCAATAGATAACTGGCACATCCAACAACCATTTATATATAGTATCCCAGATACTAGGAGTATTGTGAGAATATAAACATAAATATAACTTAGTCTCTGAATTGTTCAACTACAATTTCTTAAACTGTTTAAGCAGAGAATTAAGAGTGTGGTAAGTCATTTGTAGATAATTCTCAAATTCCTTCTTAAATGACAAAAGATGGAATCCTGACGGTACTACCAAGGACAACTCAAAAGATCAGAGTTTGAATGTTGATATTAACTAGAACTAACCCACTACACTTGTTTACATTTGACTCATCCACAGCCCACAGAAAGCTAAGTCCATCACTTGATATGAATTTTTAAATTTATTGTCAAGCATGTACTACCACATAGCTTTGAAAAAAATACTTTTCCTGATTTTGAATTAGATACTTTGGAAAAAATATTATTATTTTAAGTTATTAGATGAGTATTAAATCATAGTTTCTCAGTACTGAGCAATAAACTAGATTAAAGAAGGAATGTAGCTTCCTGTTTTTTCATACCAAATTCAATTGATGATATTAAAACAGTGAGGAATTGAAAATGTTAGAAAAAGTTCATGCAAATTATGTAATTTATAGTATATCCCAGACTTCAGAGAAGAAACGCAGAATTTAAATAAAATTGTTAAACCTGAAAGCTTAACATGAAAGGTTGAGGAGAGAAAATGAACTCTTGGTCAGAATGGCTCAAGTATTGCAAAGGCCTGATGCTTCTTGGTGCAAACCTCTGGCAGGTTGAACATTTTATTTATTTATTTTTTCTCTCTTTTTTTTTTCTTTTTAACATGTTTATTGGAGTATAATTGCTTTACAATGGTGTGTTAGTTTCTGCTTTATAACAAAGTGAATCAGCTATACATATACATATATCCCCATATCTCCTCCCTCTTGTGTCTCCCTCCCACTCTCCCTATCCCACCCCTCTAGGTGGACACAAAGGACTGAAATGATCTCCCTGTGCTATGTGGCTGCTTCCCACTAGCTATCTATTTTACATTTGGTAGTGTATATATGCCCATGCCACTCTCTCACTTCGTCCCAGCTTACCCTTCCCCCTCCCCGTGTCCTCATCTCCGTTCTCTACGCCTGCGTCTTTATTCCTGTCCTGCCCCTAGGTTCTTCAGAACCATTTTGGGTTTTAGATTCCATATATATGTGTTAGCATACGGTATTTGTTTTTCTCTTTCTGACTTACTTCACTCTGTATGACAGACTCTAGGTCCATCCACCTCACTACAAATAACTCAATTTCATTTCTTTTTATGGCTGAGTAATATTCCATTGTATATATGTGCCACACCTTCTTTATCCATTCGTCTGTCAGTGGACACTTAGGTTGCTTCCATGAGGTTGGAGATTTTATAATATTAGCATTTAATGCTAATATTGGCCTATTAGCATTTCAACAATTAAAAATCCCGCTTTGCTAGAGGTAGTCCCCACATTTTGGTCTCCTCTAGTGAAGCTCTGTCAGGTTTTCCAGGCTCTTCTTTGCTTTAGTTATTACAGCCAAGCTCCTGTTCCCAGGCCCTAGTGAGGCAGTCATATCTTAAGGTACTAACCCTGACACGTTCTCTAACCCTTGTCTCCTTAGCCCTTCCCTCCAGGTCCCTGAGTCTTCAAACCATCTCCAGGTATTGATTTTCTGCTACAATAAAATTCCCATAATGCTCCATTTTTTACTGCCAATTGCTCTCCACTGAGCACCAGTTCCCCACCCCACCCCACCTTCCACTCTGCCCCCGTCTCTCTCTCCCTCTCTTCTCTCCTATCTCTCAGATTCTTCCACTGTGCCTTTGGAAATTTCACCGCATACTTAACTTTCTTTCAGAACATTTCCTCTACCTTCCAACCTTGACTAAAATTCCACTCTCCATTGAGGACAGCACTTCTGTTGCAAATGAAGATGGCTGCTTATTCCTCAAGACCCTAGATACCCTCAGGCTGATGATACTCTGGCACCTAGTGCTGTCCATTGCACCCTTAACTCCTTTCAAAAAATCTCTGCTGCTTTGACATTCTTGCCATCTAGCTATGCACTATCTCCTTTATTGTTGGTATCATTTACCTACTAATCTCTAGTCACAATTCGTCCTTCATAAAAAGACTGGATTATTGTTTTCTCTTCTAGCCCCATGATCCTGAATGATGGTCACATCTACACAAACATTCCATTCAACACCTTGACTGGATCTCCTTATTACAAATGAACTTTTCATTTCTCTACCTTAGCCTTTCACTCCCAGAGTCAAGTCTGAAACCTGATATAGCCTGAACATTTTCCACTTTCAAAATCACTAAATGTCCTCCTCTCTCACCTAATCTGTCCTCAAGTAGAGTGTCCCTCTCTCTACTACAACGAATGCTCTCACTTCCTAGAGTGCTTTCACCAAGACTATACTTGGATCTCATTGGGACCTCAGATCCACTAGCTTTCTAGAATCTTTTCCTATTTTTCTCCACATAGCATCTATCCTAGTTCTAAAACTTAAGTCTGGTGTGTAATCTGTCAGACTTTACCTTTTTCCCATCAGCAGTATTTGCTGTGTCTAGTCACCTCCCTATGCTTGGCTTCTGACCAATCATTCTTAGTCTTTTTTTGCTGGTTCAACCTCCTTTACCTAAACATTGACTGTAAAAGTTTCTCAAGGTTTTGTTACTGACCCAGCTTTCTTTTTACCATCCCGAGGTAATCCCAACAATCACGTGGCTTAATTTACCATCTACTGTGTATGTTTATGATTCCAGGGGTGGGTGGGGAGAGATTTATGAAATGAGATGAGGCAGGGGCTTGTATGCCATGACAAGCACTCTGGACTCCAATTCTAATGTCCTTTAGCTCTACAATCCCACCCCTCTCCCCTCCTGTCTTGTGGCTCAGCTATTTCATTTGCCTAGAACATTGTTCACTAACTCTTCTTCCTTAATGTTACTAAGTCTGGGGCTCCTACAAGTTTCTCCTCAGCAATTTTCACAAATGCAATTAAATAATACCTGGTTTAATGTTTAGTGTCTATCTTCT